TTGCATCTATTAAAGCATTATAAAATATACGTTTTTTTCGTGATTTTTGCATCTGTTAAAGAATTATAAAATATATATTTTTCTGTGATTTTTGCATCTGTTAAAGCATTATAAAATATATGTTTTCCTTATTTTTTGTATGTGTTTTTTCCTAATTTTCTGTATTAAGTTAAGGTTTTTACTTAAGGAAAAAAATATATATATTATACTGAAATTCCATAAAAATTATATATTATAAAATTTTATATTTTTATGGGATTTTTATATTAAATTTTTTATTGGGGTATTGTATCAGAAAGAAGTTTACTAGCAGTGGTTAACGAAAAAATCAGCCTATTACAGATTTTACTCAAAGCTAATTGACACAATCTCATCTTATGCTGACTATTAAAATTATGTTGAAGGCATGAAGAGATAAAAGCTTGGAGGAATAACATACTCATGAAATTCCTCCATTATCTAAATTTAACTCCTTCAAAGTATAGACCAAGTGCTTTATATGATGCATTTACCAAGTCAGACATTTTAGAGTCAGAGCATATATTAGCTCTAACGCATGCACTTTACTAAAATGTAAATAAATACAGATAATTCGTTCATAACCTTAGAATAGGAATTCCTAGCTATATTTTTTTGCATATTTTATCTATCTGCAAATTTCAAATTGATGTAAAACCCTCTGGCCAGAGTAAGAGTAATATATTTTTCCCTTCTCTAACCCTCTAATAGTTTTTACCCTACTGACTATAAGGTAGTGAAATTACAGAATAAATTTTTCAAATTAAACTTTTTCAGATATAGAATAACCTAAGAGTTGCACATAATCTAATAGTTACTTCACAAGCTATATCTATACAACCATGTCTGCAATTGTAACAAAATACGTTATAGAGTACAAACTCAGTAAAGATATGAGTAATGAAGAACTTAGTCAGCACGCTTCAGAATTACTCGTGCTTTTGACAGATAAACTGAAAAGAGATAAGGACCATCAGCACTTCTAAAAAGGATATAATTTTAGCAGAGAGCAGGCATTTGTATTAGTCTCTGATCAGAGAATTTGTCAAAGTAGAAGTCGAGTACTTCCAAAAAAGAAGGAGATAAAGCAGGAGAAGTTAATATATTCCAAGTATCTGATATCATCCCAGACAAAGAAACCATCGAAAGTATAGCCTAGCATATTATTCAAAATAATCTTAGTGAAAAAGAAGTAAAAGCTATAGCCAAGGCTTTAACTATAATATCTCCTAATCCTGTCACTACCACATCCCATCTTAGTAGGCTTTGAAGAGAATTGCGAAAACTTAATGTTCCAGAAAAATAATTTCTGCTACATTAAATGAAGAAACAACCTACACATCTAATAAGATTCAAAAGAAACGTAGAGATCAATATGAAAATGAAGGGATTGATTTTTCAAATTACTTCTCGTTAGAATTAGTTAAGGAAAGACTCAATTTGTATAACGTATCTAAGACACCTACTATACAAGCCCTAGTCAATGTAATGATCATGCGTTATATCTGTCCCGCTAAAATTAAAGACTTGTATATATCTAATAGAGGTGTAACTGAATACGCAAAAAATTAAGATCAGCAGGATAATCTTCAGGTATTTAGATCATTAAAAAGGGATAAAGAGCGGGCTAAACTTCTCCTTACTTGAATTCAAAATGCAATTTTTTCTGAAAAGTTGAGGAATCCAGGAGTGCCAGAAGTTAAATGGTTTAATACATTTCTAAAAAAGATAGATTTCTTCCTGAAACTGGTAAACCACTCCTTTCTAGCTATTTGCATAAATTAGGGGCAGTATTTGCAATTATAGCAAATGGTATGAAGAATTTATCAGAAGCTATAACCATCACCAGTCAAGCCCTTCGACATTCACCAGACAACTATTCCTTTTCAACACAAAACTATACTATAGTCAATTTTCAAAAAAGAGGATAGCCTTATGATCAGGCAATGGCATTCGAGCTCTTCGATGAAAACTAATCATATAGATGGGTTAGACAACATTATTAAATTTTATTTTTTTATTCGTCTAAGATCTAGCATATATAAACTATCACGAAAATAGCTAGAATAGAATTAACTGATCAAAAGTATTCATCTGATAGTATAACTAACGAGCAGGAAGTTGTCAAATATACAAAAATATTAGCCTAGGCATTTGGACTAAATTAGCAAAATGCAGAAGTATATAGTGTACTTTCTGGAGAAAATAAGACACTAAAGAAATAATTGGAAGATTATCATTTCCAATATAACGCTTTAGAAAAGAGGGTAAAAAGATTAGAGAGAAACTTTTCTGAAGAATCTGATTTGATTAAGATAATTAAGGTAAGAGGGGCTGTCTCTCATAGCAATAAAGGAGGATGCGACCAAGAAAGATTAAGCAGATGGTAGTTTGAAGTGGATCAAGTTAGGCACTTTGCATATTTTTTCAGTCAAAGATATTAAGTTTAATAAATCTTCCTTTGAATGAACTAGTAGGGTTAAACTTAAACTGCTAGAGAGACATTCTGGCTAATTTATTTTTTCGATTAAAGATATAACATATAATACACATTATTTATGATACATACAAGTGTTTTTAATATACAAGAATTACTAGAACATATTTTACATTTCTTATTGATAGATAAATCTCTCTACCCACTCTATTTGTTTGCTGATTGTAATATAGATACAGTGCTTCTATTCTATAGAAATGCATTGAACTAGTGGATGATCAAACTTAATTAAAAAGATTTTTAAAAATAGTATATAGGGGAGGGTGTAAACCAATTTATAACTCAAAATTAACTCATATTAAAATATCAAACTACCGGCTTTCAAATAAAAAAATCAAAAGTATTGTACGTAGGTTCCAAAATATAATTCATTTAGATTTTAAAGGAAGTATGAAGTCTGAGTCTGTTGGGAAAGTTTTAAAGCTAATGGCAGAATCATATCCAAATTTGAAGTATCTTAATATATCTGTTTTAGGTAATTTATTTTAATGGAAAATTGATAAAGGTCTAACTGCAATCGCAGATTCATGTCATAAATTAGAATGTCTAAATATTTCTAATCGTATGGAGTTTTCTGAAATATTAATTTGCAATGTTATTTGTTCTTACCTAAGACTCTGGCAATTTGATTTTAGCTTTTGTAAAATTACTGATATAATGATTGAAGAGATTGCTAATTCGTGTTTTAATTTAAAATATCTTAATTTAAGAGAATATTACAATGTTAGTAAAGAAGATATAAATAAGCTAAATCCAAATATTCACTTAAAGAATTTTGTAAAAATTTTAATGCCTTCTGATCTTATTAGAATATTTAATAATCAAATTTTAACTCGAGATCTTCAAAGCTTTTTAGATCTAACTATATGAGATAGTCAAAATTTGGCTTTATATCAGATATATAGGTAATCTAATTTCAATACAATTGCAATAGTTTTAGATAACGTATTAGCTGATAATCTAGCTAGTCCAGAGTAGTGATCATCAGCTTTACGTTGCTCAGTATATTATATTTCACATTTTTTTGTTTGAAGATGAAAAAAAACTAATTAATCAAGCAAAATACTAGTACTCTATCGATCTAACTAATCTGGATCAGTCACCAGCTCAGAAGATTTTTTGCATTATAAGCAGATCACGTAAAATTTTCTTGGCATTTTTTTGAGACTGCGCAGTCCCAAAAATCTGGTGACTTTATAAATTTCTTTTGGTAAAATTCCAGTCTCCATGTATATATACTAACTAACTTTTGAATATTTCACTTCTTGTATAAAATTTATCAATCATGTCATCTGAGCTTGAAGTATTGAAATAGCATATCATTAAACTTGAGGTTAAGAATGCTAAACTTGAGACAAAAAAAGCTGAACTTTTAAAGTGGATTGTGGAGGAGAATACTAGACATGATGTTAGAGTTGAGGAACTGGAGCAAAAAAAATAAGGAGCTTGAGACCAGATTTGCGATAATAGAACAGGCTTCCTTATTAGTAAAAAGCAGTCGTATAATAATAATCCTTCTGATAATAGTACATCTAACTTTAATTCAGTTATAAAGTATTATGCGAAACCATTAGTAGATGTGAAAATAGATAATTCTCCTGAAGAGGTTTGCTATAATAAATAAGAACTAATGGTGATGGTATCTGCTAATTCTGCGAAGCATCTTAATAGCAAACTATTGAAAGAGAAAGATATGAATAGTTTCTTACTTGAGGCTCATAAGAAAATCGTTAGTAGTGAAATAAATTAACGCAATAAGGAAAAGAAGAATGAAAAAAATGGGTAGGGATTGATTCAAGAAATCTTTTCATCCATACTCAAAGAAAATCATATGACTAAAATTTCTGAGACTGTGCGATTCCAAAAATCTGATAATTCAAATGTATTAGTGTCTTCATTTCATGAGACTAGTACAATAGAGATATCTCAGCATTTAGCCTAGTTATGTAATAAAGCGCTTATTGCAGAAGAGCACAGATTAGAAACAAATCAAGAAGAAATATTATGCTGGTATCACTATGAAAGAAATTTTGTATTTTAGTTGAAGGCCTTGTATGATAAAAATAAAATTAGCGAAAAGAAGACAAGAGGTCTAATATATGATAAAGTCTTAAAGCAAGTTAATATCCTTTGTAAGAAAAAATTTCAAGATATGGGGGTGCTACTCTCAAATATAATAAGAGATAGTTTGCACAAAAAAACTCAGAGAGCTGAGAAGATCTACAAGCTTCTCAAAAAATTAGGATTAGATAAAATCCAGTATATCAAGTTATATAATGCAAATGAAATATCAAAGTTTACTAATGATGAAATCTAAAAGATTATGGATTATTTCTCATCAGAGATACGAGCAAATTCCTTAATTTCAGCAGAGGTAAACGAATCAACAGCACCTATTCCTTTAACCTATGACTCTAACTCTTCTGATGATTCCAAAGAAGTTAGCCCAAGCATTTTGCTCGAAACTGAGGATGATTTTTACAAAATGCTCTTGGAAGATTGTGTAAAGGATTGTATGTATTTTGATAAGAAAATTGATTCTACATTCCAGTCAGTGAAAAAAATGAATAAAGAAGCTGTTTCACAATCAGGGAAAGAAACAAATGAAAGTAAGTTAGACAATGACTCTAATTTTGATGATTCTGAAGAAGGGATGTCAGACGATTCAGATGATAATAGGTATGGTGGATATAATGAATATGGTGAATGTGATAGAGGTTATTATTATCATAACAGAAAATATGAAAGAAAAAGCTCCCTAATGATGAGTCCTATTATTTCTTTGGTAACTGTCTACTGAGCCAGAGTAATGTTCTGAACAATTTGATTTAGTCCAAATTATAGGCCAATCTAAAACTGAACTAAACTGTAAACCAGTAAAAATCTGAACTGAACTGAAAATTTCAGATTAATCTGAAATTTCAGATCGTTTGGAACGATAACTTTAATCATTCCAAATGAACGATTTTTTATCATTCCAAAAGAACAATTCTTTTATCATTTGTTTAGAATGATAATTTGATCATTCTAATCGAACAATTTTCTTATCGTTCATTTAGAACAATAATTTCATCATTTCAATCAAACAATTCTATTATTGTTTGTTTAGAACGATATTTTGATCATTCTAATCGAATGATTTTCTTATCGTTCATTTAGAATAATAATTTCATCATTCTAATCGAATAATTTTCTTATTGTTCAATTAGAATGATAATTTCATTATTTCAATCGAACAATTCTTTTATCATTAGTTTGGAATGATAATTTTATCGTTTTAATTGAACGATTCTTTTATCGTTCGTTTAAAACGATATTTTGATCATTCTAATCGAACAATTTTCTTATCATTTGATTGGAATGATAATTTCATCATTCTAATCAAACAATTCTTTTATTGTTCGATTGGAATAATTTCATTGTTCCAATTAAACAATTTTCTTATCGTTTATTTGAAACGATAATTTGATCATTCCAATCAAACGATTTTCTTATCATTTGATTGGAACGATAATTTTATCATTTATTTGGAATGATAATTTCATCATTCCAAATGATCTGAAATTTCAGATTAATCTGAAATTTTTGGTTCAGTTCAGATTTTTTTCAGTTCAGATTAGATTTATAATCTGAAAAAAATCTGAA